CTATTCTACATCCATTTTAAGGATCCAGAGGAGAACCTGGGTGGGGGCTCAGTCGATTAGGCATCTGCCCTTGGCTCAGGTCATGATCTCAAGATCCTGGGATCGAGCCCCACATTGGGCTCCCTGCTTCTTGAGGAGCCTGCCTCTCCCTCTCCCTCTGCCCTTCTCTCCTCCCACTTGTGCTCACTTTCTCTCTTTCACTCTCTCTCTCTCTCTCCCAAGTAAATAAATAAAATCTGTTTTTAAAAAGGTTACAGGGGCACCTGGGTGGCTCAGCGGGTTAAGGCCTCTGCCTTCGGCTCAGGTCATGTTCCTGGGGTCCTGGGATCGAGCCCCGCATGGGGCTCTCTGCTCGGCGGGGAACCTGCTTCCCTTTCTCTCTGCCTGCCTCTCTGCCTGCTTGTGATCTCTCTCTCTGTCAAATAAATAAATAAAATATTTAATAAATAAATAAATAAATAAATAAAAAATAACAAGGTTACAAAAACTAAGACACAAAGAGGTTAAGTAATTGCTCACAGTCATCAACTAGTAAGTGACAGGGCTTCTGGCTTCAGAAGCCAATCTCTTGATCTCTACACTATCACTGTTTCTCCACATGTAGCGGAAGGACCTATCTCTATAGATCTCAGGAAGTGGGAAAAAAGCACGGTGCACAAGTGTGCAGAACATGCCACCATATGCATAAAAAGAGGGGAAATATATGTGCATGTTTGTGTAGGTGCTGTGCAGGGCTGTCCAATGGAATTTTCTGCAATGGTGAGAATGTTCTAGATCTGCACTGTCCAGTACAATAGCCACTAGCCAAAGGTGGCCAGTATGACCGAGAAACTGAATTCTAGACTTCATTCAGTTCTAACTAACTTGGCCACATGTGGCTAGGGGCTGTTGTGTCAGACAGTGCAGGACAGGATAGACATGGAAAGATGCAAAAGAAGCTGGTTAGAGATCATTTAATCTTATAGTTTCCAAACTCTACCTTAACCAGACCTTCTGCAGAAAACTTTAGCTGGAAGAGCAGGTCCCGCAACCGATCATTTCAAAACAACTGATACAATCTGGCCAGTTCTTTGGAAAGATGAGGAATCTAGAAGCCGGAAAAGTCAAGTCATTTGCCTGAAGTCGTAGTCACATAGCTGCTTTAGTAACAGAGGAAGATCTAAGTTCATCAAAATTTGGATTTGTTCTCTGGAGCCATGTACATTTTGGTTGTCCAAGGCTCACTCAGTCTGATAACCAGCTCAAGAAAAGAAAATAAACTTTTGTGTCCAGTATTCCCAGAACTCCCTGGGAATCGTGAGTGTGATGTGTTTATTTTCCACAGTCCAGACCACATCAAGCCTCCTCCAGGTCCCAGACTCACCTCTTGCCTTGCCACTGTCTGGTCAACCATTCCAGATGAGGGACTAGACTCTATTACGTGTGTCTGTCCCTCAGCACCTTACACATAGCAGGCCTCCATGAAAATTTGCTGGCTATCATTACAGACTTAAGAAAAATGGTTTGGGCTCTTTTTCCAGTCTAGAATTGACCCATTAATGCAGATGGTTCATAAGAAAGTCTTTTTTTTTTTTTAAGATTTTATTTATTTATTTGACAGAGATCACAAGTAGGCGGAGAGGCAGGCAGAGAGGAGGAAGCAGGCTCCCCGCTGAGCAGAGAGCCCAATGCAGGGCTCGATCCCAGGACCCCAGGATCATGACCTGAGCCAAAGGCAGAGGCCCAACCCACTGAGCCACCCAGGCGCCCCCATAAGAAAGTCTTTTTAACATTTCCTTGGTGACTGGTGCATTTCAATAAGCTCTCAGCCAGGAGAAGGATGGGCTTCAGGGGTGCTAACAGATCACTCACTGAGCCTGAAAAGTGGGCAATTCTGGGATGAAGGGAACTAGCAGAGCTGCAAATAACCATCATCTTTTTAAGAAAAAGTAAGCCAAAAAGACGAGTGAAATGAATGACAGTGAGGTATTCAACAGAAAGGCAAGAGAGGAAAAGAGGGAAGGAAGATTCCAGAAAAGTGCTTCTCCAGAGAGCTGGAATACAGTCTGGACCTGGGGATAGAACATGGCAGAGAATCATGTGGGAACCAAGTTGAGGGGTAGAGAGATCTGCTCACAGAAGTTGTGGAAGAACTCAAGTTCCCATGCTGAGCTCCTGCATTTGGTCTTCCTCTGCCCGTGTTGGCTGCTGGGCAGGCCGGGTGTGGACCCGTTTACATGGCTCAGGAAGTGTCAGCCAGCCGGCACTTGCAGTGAAACTAGACCAAGTGTCACCATGCCAAAGGCCAGAGAACTTCAAGAAGGAAATATCCCAGGTGGGGACTCTCCAGTGTTTGCTTAAGAGGAAAAAGGAGGAAGCAAGAAAGATGTAGTTCCGGCCACCCTCCTGATGTCAACATCCTTTCGATTCTGTCTTCGGAGAGAGGTTGTACTAGATCTGCCTACACAGCTCTGAAGACACAGCAGCCCTTTTGTCATTAGAAAACTCTCCTCAGCTGAGAAGTTTCCTGTGGGGGTTTTCCCTTGTAACTTACTCATTTGGCCCTCGCCACACAAAGCAAACCATAGCCCTTCCCAGACTTGCTCCTTTGATCTCCTCTGGTCCAGATCTCAAACCCTCAACTCCTTCAATAGGGAGGATAAAGAATAGGAAGAAATCATTTAAAAAGTAAATTATTGGGGCGCCTAGGGTGGCTCAGTGGATTAAAGCCCTGCCTTCTGCTCAGGTCATGATCCCAGGGTCCTGGGATCGAGCCCCACATCGGGCTCTGCTCAGCGGGGAGCCTGCTTCCTCCTCTCTGTCTGCCTCTCTGCCTACTTGTGATCTGTCTGTCAAATAAATAAAATCTTAAAAAAAATAAAAAATAAAAATAAAAAGTAAATTATTCCTCTAGGGGCACCTGGGTGGCTCAGTGGGTTAAGCCACTGCCTTCAGCTCGGGTCATGATCTCAGGGTCCTGGGATTGAGCCCCGCATCGGACTCTCTGCTCAGCAGGGAGCCTGTTTTCCCATCCCTCTTTGCCTGCCTCTCTGCCTACTTGTGATCGCTCTCTCTGTCAAATAAATAAATAAATAAAATCTTAAAAGGTAAATTATTCCTCTAAATGTAATTGGATTCCAACTAAAATCCCACAGGATTTCTTTAGTCTTGAATGTAAAATAATTAAAAATACACCCAGAAGTGGGGCGCCTGGGTGGCTCAGTGGGTTAAGCCTCTGCCTTTGGCTCGGGTCATGATCTCAGGGTCCTGGGATCGAGTCCCACATCGGGCTCTCTGCTCAGCAGGGAGCCTGCTTCCTCCTCTCTCTCTGTCTGCCTCTCTGCCTACTTGTGATCTCTGTCTGTCAAATAAATAAATAAAATCTTTAAAAAAAAATACACCCAGAAGAATAAGTAAAAACGGCCAAGGAAGTTTCCAGAAAGTCATAATGAAGGCGCATTGGCCCAACCTGACTGGAAGAATATGGTGAAGCCGTAGTACATCGGGCCCTAATTTGTAACCCGTCTTCACCCATCATAGGTATTCCAGAACAGATACGGCAAATGGTGGAAACAGACCTGGATGCGGTTCCCATGGCCCTTGTTTAAGAGGATTGAAGACATTTAGTTGACCAGATTGAGTAGGGCCACATTTTTTAAATCTGTAAGAGGAGAACAGAAGCTTTCAGACTTGATTTGGGAGATGATTGGCCATCTAAAATTAAGTCAAGAAACAAGAGATTAAAGCAGGAAGGTGAATAGGGTCAGAAGAGGCGAGGAGTTCCAAGGAACCCCAAAGTGATTTGCTTGAGGAACAAAAAGTTGGTGTCCATTCTCCCGTTTGCAACAGTTGTGAAAAAAGTACATAAAGTCAGATGTTCTGAGTTCTGTATGGCTATATAACTACCCCCAAAACTTAGTGGGTTACAGTGCAACAGTGTTCATTTTGTTCACATGTCTACAGTTTAGGCCTACAGTTGACCCACAGGTCAACTCTGTTTTCCTCCATGTCTGGGGCCTCCAATGGCTAGAGGCTGGAACAGTTCGGGGTTGGTCTGTCTTTCTCCAGGAGGCCTCTGTACTTGGCTGGTCTGAGTTTCCACATACCTCAGGAGCCTCAGAACTCTCAGAGACAGTGTTCCAAGAGCACTCAGTAAAAGTTGGAGGCTTCTTACGACCCACCCTGCAAGTCACAAATGTCGCTTCGTCCCCATTCAAGCAAAAAGGCCAGCCCAGATTCCAGAAGAGGAGAATTAGACTTTGCCTCTTAGTGGGAAGATTGCAGAGAATCTGTAGCTGCCTTAAATCCGTCGCATAAGGAAAAGAAAAAACTTAAGGTCTCTAGTCTGCCTTTCTAGCAGCTTCTTAATTGCATCTTCCCTCCCTCCTCTACAGCCAAGTCTTTAGTCTTCTTCTTTAACATTTTTGGGGGAAAACAAAAACAAACAAACAAACAAAAAAACTATCTTTTTTCAGGACCTCTTTATCCTAAAAACATACAGTTAGTAGGGCTCTTATTCATTCATTGCCTTGGAATTGACATGGGCCTAATTTGTCTGTAAGTGATGTCATTAATAATTTTAATAACATATTATTTTTCCTAATTATAAAAGTAATACATGGTCATTGTAGAAAATTGGAAAACACAAAAAAAGAAGCTGAAGAAAAGTTAAAATGTCATGGCACTTAATTTGGCTTCCTGTTTCTGGCCTGTTGAAATCTTTTTTGGGTTTTGACTCTATCCATTTCTTATCCTCTGTCCCTCCCAGACTACCTCAAAGTCAGTGATAATGGAGACAGGTATAGGACCAGTCCTCTAGATTGAGTTTATAATAATGTCAGTAATAATTACTGAGAGATCACTAATAATTACTGAGAAATATCAAGTATCTAGAAAAAATGGCATATAGCAGAGCCATGAAAACCCAGAACATCAGAGTTTTCCCAGGAATCACAAAATGTCATTCCCAGGAATGACAAAGATTAAAAAACTGAGTTTAGATTATTTTGTTTGTCTGTTTTTTCAATATGGAATACTTCACAATCTTGTATGCCATCCTTGCTCAGAGACCGTGCTAATCTCCGTTGTTTCAATTCTAATATATGTGTTGCCAAAGTGAGTACTATAGACGGTTTTGGAAAATGTTTATGAAAAGCAAAAACAAGTTTGCTTAGCTTCATCAGTAAACAACTAGGATATTTCTAGTTCTCCGTTCTGAACAATGCTGTAGCAAACATTTTTGTGGGTGTGTCTTTTGGCAGAGAAAACAGAATAGATTTTCTCTAGAATAGATACCTACATGTGGAATTACTTGGTCAAGTCATTTTTTTTTTTTTTTAGTATGTTTGCAGTTGCCTCCTAAAAGCCTGTACCAATTTATATTCCCATCAGTCAGTATAAGAATACCCATTTGGGGGTGCCTGGATGACTAGTCAGTCAAGCATCCAACTCTTGATTTCAGGTCAGGTCATGATCTCAGGGTCGTGAGATTGAGCCTGGCATCAGGCTCCATGCTGGGTGTGGAACCTACTTAAGATTCTCTCTCCCTCTCCCTCTGCCCGTTCCCCTTCTCATTCTCTCTCGTTCTCTCTCCCTCTTTAAAAACAAAAAACAAAAACAGGAATACCCATTCCCCACATCTTTATTAACTCCATGAATGAAAAACCTTAACTTTTGCCAACTTGATGAGTGAAAATAGGTTACTATTTTTATTTTCTGGAGAAACTTAACACCTTTCCAAATGTTTCTGTTTCCTCTTCAGTGCATTACTGATTCATTCCTCTGTCAGTTTTCCCGTGGCTTGTTATCTCTTATTTATTATAAGAATATATTCTGGATTTAGTAGTTTACTGTATATGTCTATGTATTGTTTTTAATTTTGTTATACAGAAATTTAATTTTATGTAATTCTGTTTTCTCCATCCTTTTATCCTCTTTGCATTTTATGCCTTACGTGGCTTTCTTTCCCTCAAGAATATAAAGCTATTTATCTAGATTCTAATGTCTAACTTTGGCTTTTAAATTTAGCCATCTGGAGCTTATCTCTAGACAACTAATGTCTGAGAGAAGGGAAACTCATGAGGAGACGCCCATGGTCAGCAGCCCTCTGCTTGGGAACAGTTTCTGTGTCACAGTGTAGAGAGCTGGAGTGGAAGCTGAGCATGGCAGTCCCACAGAGCTGAGGGAGGCAGCCATCCATGGCTGCTGAGACAGTCGCCTTCTAGGGCAGAAAGGGGGCATCAGAAAGGAAAAAGCTGTGCAGAGAAGGGTTCCAGGTGGTCTGTGTGTGAGTCACCCTGTGTCTACGGCTGTGGGCTATGCTGTCCATGTGACCATTGGTGGCCAGACTGCTGGAGGTTTACCAGATAGCCTGAGATGGGAACAAAGATACTAGAACCAGATGGGTGTAGACATCTACCCAAGGCAAGGAACGGTCCCCAAACCCATGCACAGGGAAGGAAGTGTAGGCTGCATTCGTTGCAATTTCACAGGGACCCACTTACGTGTGCATATGCTCTATAATGTTTTCCACCAAATCTTCAAAATAAGCTTGGTCTTCGCAGGGTACTTCCTGCACGTGCTGAAACTTGGTGAGAAATGAACTTCTTCTGTTCTCTCTGATCTACACATTATTACTCCCCCTTCCCGCCCCGCCCCCCGGACACACTGGGTCTCTTTCTACAGCTGTGACAGTAAAAATGTCTCGAAAGAGTCTCAGAGGAGTCCCAGGAACGAGGATATTTAGGTCACGGTGTGTCCAAGACATCAAGTTCCTGCCACAGTGAAAAAACTGCACTTTCTTTTTTACTATTTAACTGAATTACAGTCAGCATACAATATTAGTTTCAGACGTATGACAGAGTGAGTCAACATTTAGATTGTTTGTATGTATTACTAAATGCTCCCCATTGAAGTCTGTCACCATCTATCACTGCCCAAACCCACTATAATATTGTTGACTGTATTCCCTATGCTGTACTTTTCATCCCCATGAAATATTTATTTGATAAATGGAAGTTTGTACCTCCTTTTTTAAAAAGGATTTTATTTATTTTTTTGAGACAAAGCAAGAGAGCGTCAGTAGGGGTGAGGAGCAAGAGGGAGAGAGAGAAGCAGGCTCCCCGCTGACTAGAGAGCCCGACGCGGGGCTCGATCCCAGGACTCCGGGATCGTCACCTGACCTGAAGGCAGACACTTAACTGACTGAGGCACCCGGGCACCCCAAGAGTCTATAGCTTTTAATCCTCTTAACCTGTTTGTCCATCTCTTCACCCTTCCCCTAGTGGCCACCACCAGTTTATTCTTTATATTTCTTAGTTCGTTTTTGGTTTCGTGTTTGTTTGTTCATACACTTTGTTTTTTTATATTCCACATGTAAGTGAAACTATATGGCACTTGTCTTTTTTCTTTCTGGCTTATCTCACTTAGCATAACACCCTCTGGGCTCTTACATGTCACAAACAGCAAGATTTCATTCTTTTTTACAACCGAGTAATATCCATGCACGCATGTATCGCGTCTTCGTTACCCAGGTCGCTTCCGTATCTTGGTTATTGTAAGTAATGCTTCAATAAGCGTGGGAGGGCATACATATTTTCAGATTGCTGTTTTTATATTCTTTGGCAAATACCCAGAAGTAGAATTACTGGATCATATGGTATTGCTATTCTTAATTTTTGAGGGACCTCCCAGCTGCTTTTAATAGTGGCTGTACCAGTTTACATTCCCACCAACAGTGCATGAGTGTTCCCTTTTCTCCACATCCTTGCCAACGCTTGTGATTCCTTGTCTCTTTGATACTAGGCGTCTGACCGGTGTGAGGTGACAGTCTCGTTGTGGTTTTGATACGCATTTTCCCTGATGATGAGTGATGTGGAGTATCTTTTCACGCGTCTGCCGGCCATCTGTATGTTTTCATGTCTTTTTGAGAAAAATGCCTATTCATTTCCTCTGCCCATTTTTTTTTTTCATTTTAAATTTTTTTATGTATTTATTTGAGAGAGAGCGGGCAAGAGAGAAAGCACAAACCAAGAAGGGAAGAGCTAGAGGGAGAAGCAGGCTCCCCACTGAGCAGGGAGCCAACAATGCAGGGCTCGATCCCAAGACCCTGAGATCATGACCTGAGCCAAAGGCAGACGCTCAAGCGACTGAGCCCCCAGGTGCCCTCTCTGCCCATTTTCTAAATCGGATTGCTTGTTTTTTGTTTTGTTATTGAGGTACAGGAGCTCTTTATATACTTTGGATATTCAGCCTTTGTCATATATGTCATTAGCAAATACAGCAAGTTTCTGTTCCTTTTGCTGATGATTTCCTTCGCTGTGCGAAAACTTGAGCTTGATGTAGTCCCAGTGGTTTATTTTTGCTTTTGTGGCCCTTGCCAAAAGAGACAGATCCAAAGAAAATATTGCCAAGACCGATGTTGAAGAATTTACTGCCCATTTTCTGTTAGAAGTTTTAGGGTTTCGAGTCTCATGTTTAGGTCTTTAAGCCATTTTGAGTTTATTGTTGTGTATGGTGCAAGCAAGTGGCGCAGTTTCATCGTTCTGTGTGTGGCTGTCCAGTTTTCCCAGCACCATTTACAGGAAGAGACTCTCCTTTCCTCCTTGTATATTCTCATCTCCTTTGTGACCCTTCTCATCTCCTAATTGACCATATAAGCACGGGGTTATTTCTGGGCTCTTTATTCTGTTCCAGTGATCTCTATGTCTGTTTTTGTGCCAGTATCATACTGTTTTGATTCCTACAGGTCTGTTGAGTATCTTGAAACCTGGGATTGTGATGCCTCCAACCTTGTTCTTCCTTCTCAAGATGGCTTGGGCTGTTCAGGGTCTCTTGTGGTGCCCTACAAATTTTATGGTTATTGGTTCTATTTCTGTGAAAAATATTGTTGGTATTTGGATAGGGACTGCCTTGAATCTGTAGATCGTGTGGGGGAGTATGAACATTTTAACAATATCAGTTTTTCCACTTTGTGAGCATGGTTTTCATTTCCATTTATTTGAGTCATCATAGTTTTTAGGATACAGGTTTTTTCACTTCCTTGATTAAATTTATTCCTAGTTATTTTATTCTTTTCGATGTGAGTATAAGTTGGATTGTTTTCTTAATTTCTCTTCCTGCTAGTTCATTATTAGTGTACAGAAACACAACAGATTTCTGAATATTAATTTTGTATGCTGTGACTTTACAGAATTCATTTATCAGTTCTGATGGGTTTTTTGGTGAAGTCTTTCGGGCTTTCTACATATAGTATCATGTCATCTGCAGGTAGTTTGACTTCTTCCTTACCCATCTGGATGCCTTTTCTTTCTTTCTGTTGTCTGGTGGCTGTGGCTAGGACTTCCAATACTCTGTTGAATAAAAATGGACACCCTTATCCTGTGCCTGATCTTAGAGGGAAAGCATACAGCTTCTCACCATTTAGTATGATGCTAGCTGTGGTTTTGTCATATACGGCCTTCATTAGGTTGAGGTGGTTCCCTCGAAGCCTGCTTTGTTGAGAGGTTTTATCCTAACGTTGAGTTTTGTCAGATACTTTTCTGCATTTACTGAGACAATCATATGATCTTTACCCTTTGTTTTGTTTCATGTTGGTTGATTTGCAGATACTGAACCTTCTACTGGTAAGTCCTACTTGACTGTGGCAAATGATCCTTTTAAGGTATTTCTACATAGGGTTTAGTCACATGTTTTTAACTTATTTTTGAAGTGCATTTGACATAGAGTTGGTTTCAGGTATAACACAGAATGTTTGAACAACTCACCACGATCGTTGTAGTTACCGTGTGTCACCATACAATGTTATTAGAATATTATTGACTGGGTTCCCTGTGCTGTACTTTTCATTTGTGGCACTGACCTATTTTATAATTGAAAATTTGTACCTCCTAATCCCTTTCATCTATTTTGCCTATCCTCCCCACACTCTGTCCTCTGGCCACTACCAGTTCATTCTCTGTATTTAGGAGTCTCTTTCTATTTTGTTGTTGTTCGTTCTGCCTTTCATTTTATTTTTTTTTAAGATTTTGTTTATGTATGTATCTATTTATTTTAGAAAGAGAGAGAAATTGTGGGGTGGGGGCAGGGAGAGAGGGAGAGAATCTCAAGCAGACTCCACACTGAG